ATTTGGTTGCATTATGTCAACACTGATTGCTGTGTCCAACAAGAGGTTCAACATCCTTCGGATACTGAGGTGCAGTCCTTAGCAGCTGGTTCACATGTGTGAGCTTCGCCTGCCTCTAGTGCCCAACGACACCCGCAGCCTGGGCTCTCTTGCTTTATAGTGTTCATTGAAGTCCAGTCTAAAGCTGAGGAACCGAAGGCTTTCATCAGAACTGGTTGTCAGCAGGACCAAGAACTGCTGGACGATTCCCTGAAGGAGAAAGAAAAACCCAAGAGACAGCTAAGGAAACATCCCTGGTGTGTTTTGCACAAGAATGCCAGTTGGAGCCTAGACCTAATAAGGAGGCAGAGGGAATACAGGAAAAGGCAAGCACAAGGGTTCATATCCAATTGTTAACGAATCAGTTATGCTGGATTCATTCTTTCTGCAAAAATCCAGAGCTTCACTTTATCTTCCGATACCTACCACACAAATCAGAGACTCAGTGCAAACAGCTAGGTCTTTTGAAGCATGCTCCCCCTTCCCCATGCCCTGCTGGCACCCTCCATCTGCCTGAAGGTTCCCAAGCTGCAGAGGAGATGCTTCTGTGCCACTGTCTTGAAACACCAATTCAGGACCCAACCTGTACCAACAGGAGACCTCACCTTGTTTCTGTGACACATATACAGTGCTAGAGCACCGCTTGCTTCCAACATCCTACAAACTGCACACATGAATACGTAAGTTACTCCTATTCGATATTTGAAATTCATTTCTACACATCAAAGCTTAGCATATTTTAAAAAATATAATCTAAGAGGCACCTGGTAAAAGTGAGTGAGTATTCGCAGCTGTGAGCACATTTTAGGTATTGAGTCTTGAAATTCTTTCATCCTCTTGCTCTCTTCTTCCTCTTCTGATGCAGTTACACCCCACTTGCCCTACAGAGAGACCAAATGAGTTAAGAGGTCAAGCATTACATGATGCAAGTTGCTAATTGGGCCGCCTTCTGCCCAGCTAAACCACCACGCTTATAAAAATCAACTATTGCCAAAGAAAGACAAAGATGGAGCCTCCAATATTGAAACTATCGGTCCCCGTGGTGGTTGTACAGCACATGAAAGAAATCTGACGTTAGCAAAGCAGGCAAATCTCTCACCAACACTGCATGTCCCACAGACTGACAGCATGAAGGCAGATATGGAGCTCTGGCATTTTACACAAAAGACTTCAGAATATTAAGGCCTTTTTAATTTACTTCACCTAAAAGAGCCCCAAATTTCTCATCCTCTAAAGTCCACTAGAGAAATCTTACTCAGATTTTGGGCACAACAGAAATCAAAACCACCATTCAGCAGTTTTGTCTGCAGTCACTAGCTACTGCTAATGACTTTTACATCTGTCCCAAATACACTTTTTATTTTCAGTGTACTTCTACATATCAAAAGACAAGCATATTTGCCCCAATTCACTGTCATGTTCTAGTAATATCCTCACCACACCTCAAGTTCACGCTGTTTTTTCCTCTCTTCAAATTGCAACCTCAGCTGCAACTCCTCCAGAGCAGCTCTGTACATTGCATCTTGGGCATTCTGGAGCTCAATGATCTGATCAAAAACTGCTCGAAGTTGGTTGAGAAGTACCTGTGAGACGGTCAGACAACAAAATAATAAAACAATTGTACAGCAAGAGTTTTAAGTTACTACCATTTTCTAGAATATGAGTAAATAAAAAAATATTTTTACACACAGCTGGAGAGACTGTTCTGCAAAGCCCTAAGTCAGTGGTTGCATAATCACATAGCTTGTTAGGACCAAAAACAACTGGCCCACATTGTAGCAAGTTTTATTATCAACATGTGTCACCATGTCTGGGCAGTAGGTATAGAACTTACCATTATAAAACTTTATATCAAAGGAAGAAAAATTACTTTTCTCTTTGCTCCTACAATGTCAGAGAAGGTGGTTCCTAACACATAAGCCAAGATCATAAACTTACAATTGAATGAAAAGGAGAAGATTTACCCTTGAATCACTATCCAGCAAGCACCGAGCTATGATTGTGTCCAGAAAAACTTCATGAGCTGCAATGATATGATCCAAGTCCTGTGCTTGTTGGACCTTGTTCCAGAGTTCATCCCATGAACATTCAAGCACCTGAAGCAATGATTCAGAATTTGGTTGTTTTGATTTGCTAGATGACAAGCTCTTTGAAATTTAAGAGACAACACATACAGAATATTAAAAGTACTTAATTTTTAAGTAACTAATTGGGTGGAAAGAGTATACCTCAAATGTAATGTAATACTGCATTTGATGAATGAAATGGACCATTTCTGATGCCAGAACGTGACACTGATGCAGCACCCCAGAAAGCTCTGTAAAAAATTCAAAGAGATGGCATATTAAAGACTGCAAGGACAAGCACAACCATATATCACTTTGGTAAATTTTTTTCTACCAGATTGAATACTCCATAAAACAGCCACTAATCTTAAACAGTAGCAGCAAGACTGGCTGGCAACAGATGAGCAAAGAACATTGCAGCTATTTTTTACTGAAAAAATGTACATATATTGGAAAAAATTTTCAAGAGTGAGCCATTACAGATGCTGACAAATACGACAATCTCCACTGAGAAATAGGGTCAAAAAGTCCCAGTCCGCTAAACATACACCAGAGCCACTACGTTTAAGAATTTTCCTATTTCTTCTCAAACATCTTTCTCTTCTTAGCCTCTTCTGTTCTTAGCTAAACAAAAGCAAAGGGAATGAATGAAAGTAAATCTAGTAAATTCCAAAGTGTGCATGTATGAGACTTAATAGTTAACAGGCAGCACAAGAGAGAGGGATATGCAGGGTACAAAGAGGAAGGCATCAAAGAAGATGAATAAAAATGGATAGAAGAGTGAATAAAAAGGGATAGAAGAGTTACAGCCTTACAACTGAGGCAGCATGAGGATATCTATATCAGTGCAACTTTTCAATTCAGTGACCAACCATTAAAAACAAGCAGGAAACTCTCACTTACAATAATGTTATTTTACCTTCATCATCATTCATTAAACAGCCAGTCAAGAGGAGCAAAATACAAAATTTATCTGTCCCAACAGACATTTTTTTTCCCCTCTTAATACACAGTTTAAAATAAGATGCAGTCATCTAAATCAATTTTCCAAGTATGCCATCCATTTGGGCCCTCTCACCTGGCATACTTTTCAGCAGCTTTGCATTGCACATGTGCCCCTTCCATATATCAGTAAGGATATACTCCATTCTCTTCGCTCTCCAAAGGAAATTAAATACTCTTAGATAGTGGCTCATGCACTCACGTGTAAACACCTACAAAACAAAGAAAGTATCAGTACAAATTTAATAGACATACCATATGTTCTGAAGTACCGAGAACCTCTTCACAGTCCATCTTATCTGACCCATGCAGTTTACTGGTAAATCTTGTGAAAAAAAAAAAAAAAATAAAAAATTCCTGGAAACCCCAGAGCTTTTGGAAAGATCCTTTCTTGAGAGCTGAACAGTTTCCTAACATTCAAGCAGGCAGAGGGCACTGCTGGAAGTGTAAGAAGGGGTGACGATGACAAAGCCTAAACACTTAGCTCTTAAAACTACATATGAAGATTCCTTCTCTTGTCAGACTCACATTTTGTCCTATTTAAAAAGTTCCTTACAAGTTCTTTACAGAGGCTAAATGCATTCTGATCAAATGCAGCTGACTCCTCAGTAGTTCTAGTGAACACTACCTATGAAACGCCATTTAGACAACATAAATACATTCTCTTCAAATACATTCCTCCTCAAATATATTCTCTCCTCAAATATATCCTGGTAAATTATCCCAAGTTAGCATCTACAGTCTAATAACAATGAAAGAAGAGCACTCCATTTATCAAGTACTTGCTAAAAACTGCTGGAACAAATTAATTACTAATTTTCAGTAATGATTGTTTTAAATGCAGTTTTTCAGCACTCACAGTTAACTTATAAGAATTGGCTTAACTGTTTTTGGGGCACATCCTAGACAAAAAAAAATAAAAATCTAATCTCACACTGCAGAACAAAAAAGATTATTTCAATAAAAAGATATTTAGCAATTCAATTCAATACCCAAGACACACTCACAGCCAGCAGTATATGACATTACCGTTGCTATTGGCCCATCAACATGATAGTCCAAGCTGAAGACATCCCATCCAGTGTCTCCAGGAGATACCTGTAATACAAAGATATACTACTTCCAGCACATATTCAGAACATACTAGTGCTGAAGACCAACTCTTGCTTAGTCTTTCATCAAAGGCCTATGAGAAAACAAGCATCCACATCAATAAGAGACACAGGAGTTCCTTGTTGAAAGTAGATTAAGCAAAATTAATCAGAGTTTGATACATGGGTGAGATTCATCTCACCCAAATGTTGATGTTTGTAATGTCAATGTTTCTCCTTTGAAGCTAGTAATGGAAAATGAAGGGAAGGAAAAACTTCTTGGGCAGGACTACAGACTTATTTCAGATGCTACAGCTCTTCACTCAACTCCCACCTCTGAGGCTGGAACTTTCTCATTAATTCCAGTTTCTTACCAGAGGTCTCTTTCATCAGTTGTGCTTTCATTGCTTCCCTCTTCATAACTACAGGCAGAGACACACACTCCAACCAGCCCCTCTCCAACCCAATTCTTGTAAGAGCAACAGCAGTAAGACTTGTTTGCCAAACCTCAAATCAGGGCATCAAATCCTGTTAGGCCCCAAATACTCAACTTCATATTGTCAACGGCTGTAAACACACAGTTTGAAACACAAATAGATAATAGACAGGAAACATGAAAAGATGACTTATTAAATGAGGTTTATATCATTCAAAGTAAACTTCAATGGAAGGGGGGGGAAATGTGTTTATATATACATATGAAAGTTTTCTTTCATACAGATGACTGCATGTACACACACACACACACACACACACACACACACACACACACAAGGGTATGTTTCAGGTCAGAGTCACCATTATGCAACAGACCTCCAGAAGTCGAACATCCAATCGCTTGAGAATCTCGGGATTATCAAACTGGGCATTCGTTGCCCTCACTGCTGTTTCAAGGATTCCAGTTAGATTATGCTGATATAAGGTTGTAGCTGGTCGTGCAAGCTCTGGCCTGGTGGTTATGAAACAAACAGTCACAGCTTATTACTGAAGTATTCTGCAGTAGCAGTTCAGCAGTAACGGCAGCACACAGCAAAACACTTTTCTGACAGACATTCAAAACTTCTCATATTACTCTTTCAGTCTTATTCATGAAGAACATCAATGAGCAAAATATTTGAGCAGAGTATGAACAGAATACAGCTATTCATATGTAGTTACACTCCTGAACATCACCACGAGGAGTAACTTCATCCTCAATTTAATGCCAGTAATTTGAAGTTACCAGGATGACTAGCTTAGCTATTTTGTAATTTGAGTTGCATTCATATCTAAAATGAGGCAGATTACATTATTAACACACCAAACCAGTAATTCCATTTCAGTTTTGAGAAACTTACTGATGGTTTGGGCTTAGAAGTGCTGACACCACACAAATACACCTGCCTCTGTATAACTCAAACTATTCAAAGAGTTGCAACATGCAACTCTTGCACTCTCTCTCTCCCTCAGAATAGTACTGAAAGACCTCTCACTACATTTGCCTCAAATATACTACTGCCTCCACAAAGCAACCGTATTCTGCTTAACATCAATTTTCAGTTTAAGAAGCATGGTCACATATGAATCGTCACCAGATGATTTTGATTTACAAACAAGTTAAATGACGCTCTATTACAAAGCTTGCCCTCTATACCAAAGGAAAGCTTTGGAAACGACATTTTTGATAAACTAGTTTCACTAGTAGCATTAACATGTAAATATACTTTAAGATCTGAAACCAATAGTTGTGGGTGCACCTGAGTGCTTAAAACAGAAGGCAGTGAGGCATCAATTAAATTTTTAAAATTGCATTAAAGGGTTTTGACACAATGTTTTGCACCAAACAACTCCAAAATACAGAGGGCTAAAATTCCCAGCAATGCTCACTAAAGGTATCACTAGAAATTTTCTGCTTAAACTTGCTATCACAGGAGCAAGAGAAATGCTAACATCCTTGAGGCTGTCTGTCACAGGACAAGAATAAAGATAACTATATTAGTGCAACTTTTCAAGACATTGTGAAATGGTACTGTATATACCTCTTATCAAAAAGGAAAGTTTGAGCCTTGGGGTAAAAGAAATTAAACTGAAAATAGAATTTAAAAGTTATTACTCAAAGGTTTAATTGAACAAGATACTTGGAGGGTCTTCCTCCAAAAGCAAAACAGTTTCTGTGCTGATCATGCACATTTGGAAGCATCAGAAATCCAGCATAACTACTCTCCCAGTTCTCTTACTTGAGCAAGTCCATTAAATGCCTGATGAAGTCTCCTTGCCCAAGTAGTAAGTAGCGCCTCATGGCCTGCATATGTTCCAGTAAATTGTACTTCTTATTGAGAACATCCAGCAGGTATTTGCTCGTCTCAAAATAAGCTGCATCAATTTTCTCTTGGAAGGCATTTTCCAGATCTGTGAACAAATCAGCAGCTTAAAAAAAAAAAAAAAAGATAGATTAAAATTACATTAGTAGTTTTTCAAAGCTGTGGTAAATAAGCTTTGAAGTTGAAACATGCAAACAGACAAACCATTTCTTCTGATCCACTATATTATACATTTGCCATAGCCAAAGTGAAAGCAAGTCTAAAGCAGCCTATACTTCAACAGTATTACTTTTAATTAGTGCCCAGCTTGTACTTTCCAGTAAGAGCTCATACTTTTACACTGAGTCATCACTTTTACACAAAGAGTTGGGATTTTCTAAGCTTGCTGAAGTACTGCAATTTACAAAATCAAATAATTTGAAGGAGATCTAAAAGCTCAGAGTTAGGGAAAAGCTTTGTTGGGGGGATCTAAATCAGAAGCCACTTCTAAGGCAGGGGACTGGGGGAATAAATCAAAGAATCAGAATGTCAGAACATCCAACAGAAAAGAGTTCCCACATATAAGAGAGAATGAGAGAAAATGGAATATGCTTCTGTTACCTGGGGGATGGCCATCAACCTGATATTTTCGTCTTCAACTTCAATGCATGGCAATTTGGGGACAGAAAGCAATACATCGCCCTTTAGCGGGAAGCTTATTTCACTATTTTCTACAACTATAAGCTTATTAAGACAGGGACTGCAATAAAGCTGTCATGAGACAGCAAGAAATGTGGTCTCTTCAAGCAACATGGAGCAATACTCCAAATAGTGGATTTTCAACTATCATAAGATTCAGACCTTCCACAGTGTTTAAGGATTTACTCCCACTTTCAATGATTTTTAACTACACAACTATTTCTCTAAAGGTAAAAAAACAAAGATCCAGATACCAAATTAGTGTAGGACAGTGCACTGCCTGCTCCAGGATTAGTCTGCACTGTAGAAGGGAAAAAATTAAAACCAAGTTTTGTGTTGTTCTGATGGCATTCAGCCATAGTTAATAAAATGTTTATAAACCGAAGAAATAAACAGTGGTTCTAATACAGAAGTCACTCTTCAGTGAGGAAAAATTCACAATGTCTACCTCAATGACATTCCCTAAAGTTTCCCAGTTCTCATTCAGTAACCAGTGAAGCTCTCCATAAGAAAAAAAAAAGTGCAATAATATGCAGAGATGTCAAAGAGATGACACTTTTTACAATACTTTGCTATGCTCAAAATCCCTACACTAGGGGAATAGTACATAGTCAAGTAACACGCATCAAACCTAGGGATGTGAGAATTAATACAGCCTGCAGTAAGGAATCCTCTAAGTCCCCTTTCCAGTAAGTGACAGCAAACCAAGACAGACAGCTCACCAAGATCTCTGCCTACTCTGGTGAAGGCAGAGATCTGGTGTGATCTGACAAAGCAATTCTTGTATTGCTCAGGTAAGGAAGCATGCAGCAGTGCTCCCACTGTTGGCAAAAACGGAAAAACATCATTTCGTGCAAACACATTTGTGTCACTGCTACAGGACAAGAGGGCAGTGAGAATCCCCAGTCAATTCTTTCATCTGGGTCTTTCCTTGTCAGCAGATCCCATCCACTTTATTGCTCTCTTCAAAAGATGGGTCCAAGCATGGCTGCTTGCGTGCACAGTGGCACCAGCCAGCTGATCTGCTACATAGCTTCACTGCTGGTTTTGGAGGAAGAAGGAAGACCTTCCAGAAAGGGAAAAAAATCCCAGAGTTTCAGAGACAGAACACAAGAACCTACAACACCCCAAAGATCTTTTGCAAGTGCCTTTTCTCAAGGAGCAAGCCTAGCAGGCAAAACAAGAGAGGGAACAAGTCAAACCAAAACCAGCTACAAGCTAACACCTTCAGCTACTAGACCCAAAGGTTAGGCCTAGGACTGGCTCAAAGCACAGGCAAAGCCAACAGGTAATTTCCTAGCTTGCCTATGCCAAGCCTACCATGTCACACATGCTGGTCCTGCCTCCACTCAAGTAGGGGTGAGCATATGTAAGGCAGTACCTATGGCTGAGGACACATGGACCAGTCTCAACCTCTTACTATCCCAAACAGAAAAAAAAAACCTTCCCCTCTCCTTAGTACTGCTCCGCTTGCCTTGAAGGAAGTGACCTGGCCACAGCCCTGCACCTCAGATTGGAAAATTCAATTTTACACAGGTACCTGTAAAGTACCATGTCTGTATACACACACACACACCAGCACAGGGAATGCAACATTCCTGCTTGACATGCAAAACTGCTAAAAAGGTTGTTTGCATCAACAAACAAGAAGCCTAGACACAAGTTTTGAAAACTGGAAAATTATATTAGCACACTGAAAAGTCAGAAATGGGTAAAAAAAAAGGGTCAGACTAGAAGCATTAACAGAAAGCTCCATGAGTTGCTACTGAAGGTAGCATATAGTCCATTCAGAAGTCCCCAAACTGTGGACAGCTAGATGTGAGAGCTGCCTCTCTTACTATCCCTCTTCCCCAAATGCTACAATTCCCTGTCAGGCAAGATGACCAACTTTTACACAGTTTTTTATCTCTGACTTCCTGTTTTAATACATGTTCAGACCGTTTTCTACACCACGATTACTTCAGCATCAAAAGGAAATCAGGGAAACAGGAGAACCAAGGTTCCAAAGCAAATGAAAGAAATAAAAAAACCACAGCCAAACCCGTGAAATGGTCAGATTTTAAAAGAGAAAAAGCATCCAGAATTCAGGCTGGCATCCTAGCTTTCCATGATCTTATAATCAGTAATGATCTGAAGGGATGCTCAGGATATTGTCAGATGGCACAGACAAGCAAGAAAGGAAGCATTTCCAACACCACTGACACAACTTTTCGTTCAAGATTAAATGGGTAAAGTGACCAAACACAAATGCAGTTTCATGCAGAATTAAAGTAGTGCAATACCATGAGGTATTCAGGCTGCAGACCATGAGCTCAGCACACCTTCAGCACACTGTACATAGTAACATCTGTTTCTAAAACTACACTTCTGTCTCAAACAGTTATTCTCAGCACTTAAGATAATGTACTTGCTTTGAAGCTCATCCCCTAAGTAATAGGAAACATATATTTGTGCACATCTCCCATTCAACCAAGGAGAGAGAAACATGTGCAAATTTAAAAAATAAATAATAATTTATGGCCATAAATGCTGTATAAAGTGGTGAAAGTAGTGTCACCAAAGAATGTTTTTTCCTTTTTCAGGAGTAGCTGGCAAGATGATTGTTCAAATGCATTTACAGTCCTTATTCACTTAACCCTGACCCCTCTCTGCACTTTAACTACATCTTTGACTAGGCAAGCACTGTATGTCGCATAAAAATCACATTATTAGATGACATTCTTCCAGACATGAATGGGATTTTATTATTAGAACATCTTTCATGGAGGTGCTCATGCTAGAAGTCCATGCTGTGAACACTTAACATAAAAATTAATCCAAGGTTAATGCAGAGGGGAAAAAAAAGACAATCCCACAAACCCAAGCTTCAAAGTCATATGTAATAAAGTTATATTTGAGTACAGGAATAACAGAAAATACATAGTACAATCTGTTAAAGTGCAAAGAAGTATGTTCTTATCAAACAAGAACTTGACTGAAAACCAAATATTTAGATCAGAGAAATTATCCCAGTGAGCCACACCTTAACAATTAAACTATCTTTGGTATATTAAACAAGTTATCAAAAGAAGTTATAGTAGCAAAATACCACTTTCATCAGAAGGCAGCAAGTTGTCCTTTCTCCTAGATGTAGCAGCATCCTACACATTCTTTGCTTAGTTTACACATAAAATCTCCTTGATTTAGATTTTACAGTTTTCTGTCTTTCATCACAACAATGTTAATTTCATCGCAATGAATATGCCACCAAAAAATAACCTCAAATAGTATGTAAGTTCTCACTAATTAAAACTGGAATTTGTTCTACATAAACCAAAATAACCTGAAGGAATTCTGACAGTTAAATTTTGGTTTAATATTCAACAGCTGGCAACCCCAATTTTAAGTAATCTTCAAAAAGAATTTTACTAACTTTCCACATACTCAATTTTCTTTGGACATACTGGTATAATGCATTTACAGACAGGTTTCTGTCCTGTTTTTATTGCTCATTCCCTTATTTACAACTAATTGAGTATTTATTATTTTTCAATCACAGAATCAATTCAGTATTATTATGGAATTGTATGATGGAGTATATTTGATGACAAGTCAAACATACTAATTCTTATTGCAGCACACCCTGCTCCCACCCAGCTCTCTCAGCAAAAAGTCAGCTGAAGGCAGACTGGTTTCTGAATGGTTTCATTCAGAAATTCAGTACATTAACAACTATCCAGCAAACCTATCAAATTAAGAAAATTACAGAACATGCATCACCATACATCTTTTGTAAATATCAAATATCCATTAAAATATCTATGTTTTAAGGCAGATGGGACTTTTGTTCTCCTTTCCATCCCACTATTTAAACAGTCAGTTTACAGTCTAAACAACGTAACGTACAGAGCTCAGTTCAAAGGGAAGATACTGAGTAACATTAATACTCTACCATCTTTTGAAGACTCTGCAGATTTTGCCACAGCAATCACCTTTGTGGATGGAGTTTGATCGTGACAAACTTGATGTAAGAAGTTTATGGATTTTCCTATTAGGAGGACCTGAACAAAAAAGGATTTTTAAAAAAAATTATTTGCATATAAGGAAAAAAAACCCTAAACAAAATAGCCACCCACAGCCACCAGGACAAGATATTTTCTTATCTTTCTGTGCTCTTAGCTTCACAATCCCAACCACAGTAATCCAGAACTTCAATGCTAACATGAAAAGGTTTTAAACGCAAACTTCTTTTCCCCCTCCTTGAGATCTCCTTAAACAAAGTTTAACAATTAGAGAATGGAAAGGAGAAACAGTCTTATAGTCTTCCTCAGCAAACAATTCTAAAATTCCTACGATGAATATTTACTGTTGAATTTGGCCTCTGTTTTCCTAATGAAAATCTAAGTGGAGGCACAGAGCAAACAAATCAGAAGATTACCTTTTGGATTCATACCTTTTTTGATTGCTCCATTGTAATAAAAGAAGGGATCATTGATTTCCTCAGAGTGTATTTGTCATGCCACAACCGATCTGTTTTAACAGTAGGATCTGAAGCTACAAAAAACTGAAGATCGAAAAAATATTAAAAACAAAAGATTAATGTAAACTCTCCACCCTAGAGTTTAACTTCTGTATTCAGAAAACTGTAAAAATATTTTGAGTTGGTTTTTTCACTTGCATAGCTAACATGCAGAGTTGTCCTGGCAATGGATATGTAAATTGTATGTTGACCAACATGCACTCTGAAGTTAAAACAGTTCACATAGTTTAATCTACTCTATATGTTATGAAACTTTGACTACCTCAGGGTAAAGTGTACCATCTGTAAAACATCCACTATTTAATACAGTAGCATGTAGCATTTTTCCAACCATTAGTTATACAGTTAGGGTAGGAGATGAAGATCAAAATATAATATGCTTTTACTTTGTTGGTTCTGTTTTCACCCCTAGTATTTCTCCTAACAGATGCAGAATTGCAGGAGAAAAAACAAAAACAAAACCAAAAAATCTTGCAATTGAACTGCTGATCAAATGCTACAGTCTCTCAACTACATACAGCAGAATATTCTGATTTGCAAGAAACTAAAACTACTTCATTAGTTTTGTTAAAGCGACTTTTGGATGGATTCTGTCCTCATCCTGTCAAACAAGATATCCATTTTCTTGACAAGAACTTTTTTCACTGCCATCAAGAATGGTCAATTGTCTTGGTTCACAAACTGCGCCTATGGTATGAAAATTGTAGTTTTCAGTACAACACATCCAACAGTGATCTTCAGTATTAAGAACACTCTTACACTACACATATAAATTTTTAAACAGAGTTGAAATCTAAACATAAGACCCAAAAACAATAACACCTTACACATCTGAGGAATAGCTGGAAACTACTACACTACTAGAAAAGGATTCATAGACCTTTTACACAAGTCACCTAAGGCTGAGTTTAAAGATCAGCTGTGGCTGATATTTGTACTAATTGAAATTTTGACCAAAAGAAGCACAGAAACAGACAGCATATTTCACTCTCAAGTAAAATCGCTCAGATCTTTCTCGGAAGTGCTCAACTAATTTTAAAAAATTATTTTTTGGCTTCTTGGAACCAAAAAAAAGAGTCACTTTAAAAGAGACTTTGCTGATAGGAGACAAAAGTGTTGGGAGAGCTTAAAAAAGCATAAGAATATTTGTAAGAAGAAAGAGGACAATTTCTGGAACTTGCTGTTACAAAACTCACAACAAATAACTGCAGAGTTTCTAAAGCAGCTTTTGAACCATAAACCTCTTCTACTCAATTTTACAGACTAAAGTTATTTATCAAGCTGAGGATTACAGTGAATAGTCAGAGTAAAACATTCTGAACTTCATTCCAAATAAAAGGCCTGCATTCTAAACAGTTACAAAGAACTCTGCATACAATACTACTGTTACACTAAGCAAGAAAACTTAGAGAAATGACTTTATCTCTCTTCAGAAGCAAGCACCTATTGTCAGTCCACTATTCTGACTCTACCAGATGAGACCCAGGCTATGCTTTATTGAAGACAACATGTTGCCTCATTGCAACCTGCAAATATCAAACTGACTGAAATCATGAATTCAAGTGATATTTCATGATGTATCGCTTACTCACATATTATACACTTTCATCACTGTCTACTTTTCAAATTCTCCTCTAGGCTTCCCACAGATACCTCGAAGCAAACAGAGATAAAATATTTACCATAGCACATACATTACCTCGTGGTATGTGTCCTCCAGCTCTCCGTCATATATCCAGCGATAAAGGAAATTCAGTACAGGATGGGATACGAGGCCAAGAATGTGCTGAACCAGAGACCTCATGTAGGGATCTCCTGTTTTAGTATAGGCATGAACTGCTGAGGCTAGTTCACCACCTTTTCTCCCTGTAAGATCATAGGGAAGGGGAACAGAAATGTATGGAGGAAAACCATATGCACCCCATTTAAATTCAGTAGCCATTGATTTCAGCTAGTCATGTGTCACTCAGACCATGCTGAACAGCAATTCTAAAGTGTAGCAAAAGTACATTTTTTAATGTTAACAGGGAATTCTCTTAGGTTTTAAGGTATGAATTATTAATCTCACTAAAGCATTAAGCAGAATTCTCTGCCTACTTTATGGTAGCTTGGGGGAATGCAAATTTCAAGGCATCAGATAACACACAAAGGTTGATGTTATGCTTTTCTTTCCCACTCTCCCCACCAGAAAAGCATTAAAGAAGCCTTAAGTTTTCCTTCCCGCCTGTACTTGACGCTCTCAGATGTTCTGTGTGCATACATGCACACAAACACCTTTCGTGCTTCTTAGTTACAGTTCCCACTATAGCTCTGCTAGGTAATATCTCCCGTTTCCTCGCAATTGAAAGGTAAGAGGTTGTCAAAAACAACACAAAAAAATAGAACAAATATTTGCTCTGCTGTTATGCTGCATAGCTTAAAGGTTCCTTGCAGCAGAGACTGTAGAATTTAAAGTTGTCATGAATGTCTTAAGAAGTAAAGCCCATTTTTTTTTTTCAAGTTTGTTACAAATTCCAATAATGAAGGTAAAGCAGATGTTGTAGGATTTTTTTGGTTAAGATGCTCTTCCTAAAGAGCAACAATCTCACCAATCTGAAGTACCCTCAGGGAGAAGCATGGACTATAGGTCAGTTACTGGCCAAAGTTTTGGTCAACTCCAACATAACTCCTCAGCACTTTCTTGTGGACTGCCAACAGTCACACTCTATTTGCAGATTTATAAAGTATTGTTGATTCCCATTAATCTGCAGACAAGTTGCAAATGATTTCTATATGCCATTATATAGAGAGGAATTGCATAATACTCATGCATAGTAAAGAGACAGCCAATCATTTCATAATGTATTAGCAGGATTCTTTAAGTGTGACATTCTCTAAAAGATGATTAAATTGAGTAATTGAAAACAGCATGAGAAATGCATGCTTAAAATTGGAAGGATCTCTCGAGCACATTCTTGTTTCAAAAAAGCAAGAAATATGGATGTATCAAAACAGCACTACAATTTGCCATGTTTTGTTTAAACTAATAGAGCAAATCCTCTGGATTAACTACTCAAAATTTAAAAAAACAAACCCCAAACAAGAAGTAATATTATTGAAGAAATAATATTACTGCTATCTGGCACACACAACTACTCAGTTACATAACTTCCCCAGAAACAGTAATGTTAAACAGACCTTGACAGTGATCAACGAGTGCTGCAAGGGTCTTTAACCTTATTTTAGGATCATAAGTCCAGACTAGAAGGCGGCGAAGTGTTAAACTGCTTTCAAGTCCCAAATTCACACCCTGATCATCTTCCAGTTGCAACTGAAATCAAAGAAAAAGACATGTCAAGGAACAAAACTCGCAAAACTGAGGCAGAACTGATGATTCATAGTTTGTGTTCGAACATTAGATTTTTACACTTGAAATAACCAGTGTTGCGTGTTCTCTCATTAAATCACTGGGCCAAAACCTGAGAGCCAATCTAGTGAAAATAAAGAATCAAGAGCAAGTGAAACAACAGTGACAAGCAGAAGTGTAATAAGGTAGACAAAGTAAAAATTACAAGAAAATTAAAGAAAGTAAGATGACAGAGTCACAAAAGGAGAGAAGAGCAAAGGAAAAGAGAGTAGAGATCCTGAAAGACAGCCAATACTGGCCAGAGACACTCAGAAAAGAGTAAAGAAAAAGATCTAAAGGAAAGGCAAAGTGTAGGAGGTAAACTTTTTATTACTGCACTCCCAGCTTAGTTTAGTTCAACATGGCACATATTCAGTTCAATGTCTTCCTCCAGAAGCCATCAGAACTCAAGACAGCTATATAGTCAGATTAGAGAATTACTACCACTAGAAAAAAAAAAATTGAAAGATACAATAAGAAAAATCTGTCACAAAGTGACAATCTTCCAACACCATGGAAAATAAAAGCCAAATATTTGCATCTGAGGTGCAAATGCACATCTCATAAAAGTACAGATGGGATAAGCAAGACAAGAACACAACCTAAGAATACAGAATACAGAATAGTCCAAGTAGACTAACTCTTAGAAAAGATGTTGTTTCCTGTATATAAGAGCCCATTCACTCTGTGCTTTCATATTTAGCACCTTTTTTTTTTTCCCCAAATACAACATATCAGTTAAACTTAAGATCAGTGTCGTCCATATTAAGCTCAGCCTTAAAGCCAGTTAGATACATTAGTTTCTGGATGCTCTTGGGTCCACGGGTGGATTTTTTTCTTTGGAAATTGGTAATAAGAAAGACACATGAGCAAAACCCATCCTTTGACTCTAGGTAAGAGATGGTACATCTTCATCATGGAACTACACTTTTAAATGGGTTGACAATGTGAAAACAATCTGCAAGGAAAAAACATGAAAAGCTTATGGAACAGTATACAGTACACTCAGAATTACTCTTTCAGGGGCAGAAACATGTTCAGGGGAAGCTGTGAAGACATAATAAAAAGTTACAGAGAGAAAGACAGTACAAAACCCAGTACAGAACCCTGTCAGTACAGAACAACATTCTTGTTGTTCTGTGCCTGAATTGCAAACTGGAACTGCAGCTAATAACTCCTAAGCTGGCAGACTGTATGATCTCCCGAATCTAAGAATGCAGCATACACTCAATTTCAAATCACAATTTTCTACATGTTTTCAACTAACTGAAATGTACACAGTATTTTCCCCCATCCTGCAGTGTGACCTTCAAGCCTTCCTGGCCTTTAAGTCACAAAAGAATCTCTCCTCTACTACTGGATCTTTTCTTTCCCTTTCCCTTTCCTTTCCCTCACAGCCTTTGGGGAGGAATGTTGCCAGGGGCTTCTTGAAAATCCAAACACAACAAGACCCTGGGAGCCCCTTTCAGTTAGGTGCTTAGGGACCTAGATTCCCCAGAAACTCCAGCATGCTACTCCATCAAAACTGTGCATTACAGACACTGTACTGACTGTTCCCTACATGAATGCACTTAATCAATGGGCTCGATACACTCAGGAACTCTAACACTGGACATGAATCTGGGAAAGAACATGAAGAGCCAAACAAGAACAGCAGTAGAAGAAAGATTGGGAAAAATGTGTGTCCAACTCCTGAATGGTGCTGGGAAACCAGTGACAGGAAAAATGGAAAATGCAGAGGTACTTAATGCCTTGCATGCCCTGCTATTTTGGCAGTATTTGCTGTTGGGGATACCAGATGTCACCTGAGATCAGAAGGGAAGTCCAGAACAAGGGAGACTGAGTAGAGAAGGATCAAAAAGAAAAAAAAGGATATGCATAAGTCTACAGGACCTAATGGGATGCATCCTCAAGTGCTGGGGAGGGAGCTGGTCAATGTCACTGCAAGGCCACTCTCAATTATCTCTGCAACACAGTAATTAAAGGAGGTTTCTAATGACTGGGAGAAAGCAAATTCACTTCTTTCTTCAAGAAGGAGGAGCCATAAAACTACATACTGGTGAGACTCGCTTCATTCCCCAGGATGCTGACAGAGCAACTAATCCTGGAAACCATTTCCAAGTACATGGAGAACAAAAAGCTTTCTCAGGAAGAAAAGCTCAGAGAAAGGAAGAGGAAGTAGGAATATTTGTGGTAATGGAGTTTGTCTTCCCAAGCAAGTGTTAAGTGTCCCAATGCTCTGCTTGCCAGGAAGCAGCTGGACATCTGTCTGCTGATGGGAAGTAGTGAATGAATTCCTTACTTTGCTTTCCTTGCACACACAGCTTTTGCTTTCCCTTCTAAACTGTCACTAACTTGATTGACTTGTCTTTTTGTCTTCCTTCTAATTTTCTCCCCATTCCTGAACAGGCAGGGGTGAGTGAGAGGCTGGGTGGGTGTTTGGCTGCTGGCCAGGGTCAACCCACCGCAAAGGCAAACAGTTCGAAAATAAGCAATCCCAGAACTTTCCTTTCATTTTCTCCTTATAGGCTTCCCCTCCCACCACACTCATCTCCTTTTGAAAGGTTTAGTGGAGTAGAAAAGGTAGAGAAAGCTGCATTTCAAAAAATTCATAAGTATTTTCATGACCAAGAAGTTTTAAAAGTTAGAATAAATCAAAGCTCCAGCAAATCAGGAGAGTAAACGTATTTGAGACAGAGCAGGAAATAATTACAAAAAGAATAACTGGATAGCAGCCAGGAAAAACAAGCAAAAAGCATGTATGACAGGCATTCCAAAAGTTAGGAACGCTAAAGAACTGCAAGGAACAGATGCCTTAAAAACATTTACAAAAGCCTATGACTTAAACCATACAGATTTTTAGAAGTTAAGAGTTTTAAAAGCCAGTTTAATTTAACTTTAGATAAATTCTCAGAATAAATTTTTCTCCATTACAAGTAATGAACTCCTTGAAAGCCCTACATAAAAAAAAATTAAAAGGCAAGCACAAGAAAAAAATGTATTTTATTTTAAAGTTAGCATCTAGGAGCACATACTATAAACATTTGTGGACAAACTGCAAAATTATCAGTACTGAGTTGGTCTATATGTTACAGAAAAATAGTAAAACACTGAAACATCTGGAAAGCAGATGTTTTTACTCTTATAAAACAACTGAAGGGACAAGAAAAATGCACAAAATGCCCCTGGCAGAAGAAAAAGTTGGAACTGTTATTACTAGTTGCTGAACCATCGATTGAAATATCTTTTTTTTTTTCTCCTCTCAAAGATGTGTCACTGTTTGGGATTTGCATGATAAAGGTATTATGTAATATGAAACTCTCAAAAAGGATGCAAACCAGGGACAGAGGCTTAGAAATACACACCATATTCCTTGCTTATGTAATACATTAAATACCAGTGAATTTCTAAGAGAAAAACATTCAAGGGTACATACATCCAAATAGTAAGAAATGTACAAGTTAGAGAATTATGTCCACTGTCAACAGAAACTTCTGTACACCCTTCACATTCTAATGGAATACGCAGGTATATCTTTCAGGAGGTATTTACATAATGTAAAGCGAAACAGGAAAGTTAAATAAGAACCACTTAACTTACCTGAGAATGTAAAACAGAGAGAAGCCGGTAGTATTCTTTAAGTTCCTGATGTAAGGCTGCACAAAAACTCTGTACGAGAAAGAGGAGAGGGGAAAAAAGGAAGAAAAAAAAAATGGAAAAAACAGTTAGGAAAAATCTTTCTGGTCTAATCTAGAATAGCTTCAATTCTATCACCACACTTTCAAGGTAGTCAAATTTCCTGAAGGGAATCAAGCTACAAGTTTCAGCATAAAAGCCAACTCTTTGAAAACTCGCCAAAGTATAAATGCTGCCCTAAGAGATGCACATATCTTTTCCAGATATATATACACGTTGTCAAGTTACTTTGTTTCTTGCTGTCTTAACTCTATGAACAGATTAAACTATAACAAGTGTAACTCTTCAAATAGATATATCATCTCAATAACAGCATTAATAATTAGCACAGGGACGTGCAAATTATAACATGACCCAGTTAAAGTTCTTTTTTAATAACCATGTAAAACACAGTATGTAGTAAAGTAATAGAGCTTCAATTTCAGGAATATCTCTAACAACAGAAAACAGAAGTCAGGCAACTATCATTATATTTATGGTATAGACTACATGACATGAATAAGAAAACCTAATGTTCAAAAAAATACTTCCAGTAAGTGCTGCTGGATCCGGTAAATTTTTGTCCTTTTATCAATTCTCAGTTGTGCATGATGCTTCACTTGACATGGAAGAAATACATAACACAAAGTGTATCTTCAGGCCTGAACTAAAGCAAAGCTTCTTTGTTAAACAATTCTAGGCACAGTTACTTTGGTAGTAGTAATAAGTAAATAAAGGTAGATTTAAAAAACAAAATCTGTAAAGAGCATTTATTTAGTAACAAAGGGTTTTCCATAGTTTGGGGTACTGGGGTTTTCCTTTGTTTTTGTAATGGTCTTAACCTAACATACAGACTAAAAAATTCCTGCAACACATTTTCAAAAACAGAATTAAAAATATGGCTCATTAATTTAGGACTAAGTTGAAACTTCGGACTTTAAAATTCCCAAAAGTGTGCTTAACGTTTTGTATATGTTTAGTTTCTTGGAAGCATACTTCTGTGTCCACACACACATTCAGGACTGATTTCTAACCAATTCTCAGCTAACAACTTTGATCTCTATTTTATTTTTATTTTTTTAATGGGAAATTTCCCAGGACTTTCCCCTCAACATCTTTTAAACTCACACACAAAATAATTTGGAAAAAAAAAAAGGAAAACTTCACAGAAAGGACCTTAGAGCTTGAAGAAAAATATTTATTCACTAGAGTATTTAAAAAGGAGAATCATTTCTACAAGCATAAGGAGAAAATAAATCTTCTTTCCTGCTAAGCAGCTAAGCCTAGGAAAAAAAAGTCATTAATCTTGCCATTGTATCCTTTAGAAGGAAAGGAGGTTCCTTTCTTCAACTGAACATTATAAATTACAAAGAAATTTGACATTCGTTCTATTCCAGAGGATACTGAAGGGTAAAAAGAAATCCCCTTACGTGTAACTCCACTTTTCATTTCTTCTCACTTGCTTCTTCAGTGCATTTTTGAATCTATTTAAAGTAGCACTTGCCAAGACAGAGGGCAGAGCAGAGCCTCCAAGAAAACATTCAAAGGCACTATACATCTGCTCAAAACAGAAGAACAGTAATCACTGACTTCAGTGATTCAGGAGCCAATAGGATTTAGGATCTACTGGCCACCAATTTTTCAGAGAAGCTTTACAAGTTAAAATTTACATCCAGTGCCAATTCCTGCGTCACAGACTACAGGTTTTTATTTCCCAAACTGTTACAGAAAAACTGGACATTATCCTAGAATTCTAATTTGGTCTGCAGCAAAAGAGAATTCAGGAAGGAAACAGAATGCTTGTTTATAAGAAAAAAATTAAAATGCCCACTACCTCAATTGGATCTAAATGGGCAAAATGTCAAAATACAAGACAAGTTGTTGTCGATTATTCTTTCTGCTTTCTGAGGACAAAGCAAAACTTGCATACTAAGCAGCAAAAGGAGAAAAATATAAAGTGTAATATATTGTTCTATCTCTACTCCTAATAATTGTCAATACCTGACACTTTGTGGAATAAAAACAGCCACCAGAATCATAATAAAAGAGGTGACAGACATCTTCTCCTACGCGTGATTTAAATAAGCATTCTTTTAAAACATTGGCAAAAGATGCTTTATAATACAATATATATTCTTGTGCTAAATTCTTTAATGCACAGTGTGCAGCACCTGAAATTCCAGTTATAACAGCTATGAAGAGCAATTGTATATACTCTTTGTGCCCAGATACTGATAGCAGGAGCAGAATATATGTTTTTATTTGTATGCTTATGTCCTAGAAATATATACAAGTGATTGCCTCAAGCAAAATTAACAGCATTAGAGCTATGCAAATTCAGCTAAATAACTGCACAGCCTTCTGCACAGGATCTGAAACCTGCTAGGATACTCCACATTTAAATTCACTGAAGAATTACAGCTCTCCCCTTGCTGTAAACTTGAAGACTAAAGCCAGAGACAGTAAAAATAAGCATAAGCTGGAAGCTACTAAATAAAGAATAAGAAACTTCACCCAGATATAAGGGGGAGAGTCTGAAGAAAATGCATATACAGTAGCACTACCATATAAAACATGGAAAGCAGAATTGGATGACTAGAAAAATAATTATTTATATGAAACTAAAAAAGATTACTTAGAATAAGAGACAGAAGGGAACAGAATAAAACATTAGAAAAGTAGGAAGCACTACAGTGTCTCTACTGACCTCTTAAGAAAAATTAGATTGAAGGGAGAAGCACTTCAATTTCTTGGCAGATTAGGTAGGATGTTATGGCTAGAGGCAAGGATAACATTTCTGTTGACTCAGAAGGGATAATATCCAGTTTTACAGAGGGAGCAAGGGAGAGAAAACGGGAATGCCTTAGCAGTAAATGTGGTTTTGGGTATTACAGCAGCAGTGAAGTTACTGTAGACTATAAATCATGATGATGAAACCTATAAAAACAAAAATTAATATTCTTTTGATGCTGTATTCCAAATAAAGGGCAGAAGATAATGGGTTATTTCCATTTTATATAAGTTACTGCAGTCCTAACACATGAACATCAACAATAGTTGACAAGAAAGTCTCCTGCATAGGTCACTAACAACTGAATTGGTGATTAATCAGCTCAGGGATGCCACCACCCCATTTAAGCAATGTTTTTGTTTATAAATATGCATGATAATTATTTTTTTAAGAAGGTTAAGAAAAAGAATCTATGCATGAGACTTTCTGGTTACAAATGACAGGGGCAAATCCTTAAGACCAGCAAGAGCAAATGCCTTTTCCTTGCCTTCACTCTAAGACCCGTATCAAAAGCAGTAGTCCATAAGAGAAGTAAATCAAACGATGAATGATCCAAGCTCCAAAGTTTATGCATAATTCTAGTACTGTATTTACTCAGCAGTTTCTTAGGGAAACAAGACCAATGTGTTGTAGCTAAATTAGTTTTTTAGCTGACCTACCTGTCCCACAAGTCCAAATGCACGATCCAAACTCCTCTGGTCTGTATATTTTCTTATTTTATTATGTAGCCATCCCAGCTCTGCAAGTCTACTTGTAGTATCTCTCAGAGATTTGGACAAGCTCACCTATAAAGTTAACAGAAACAATAACTTGCAATTAAGTCAAATCTACCATGCCAATACTGGTTTCTTCACCAAAGTCCATCTTTCTCATAAAACAAGCCAGTTCAAGAAACAAAACTTTTACATTCTACAGCAGAGAGAGTGTCAAAAAAAGCAGACAATCATGTAATTAGCATTTATTTTTTACACACATGCACTGAAAAGACAGCAGCAACAAACTACTGGCCACTTAGAAACCTTTCCGTTTGGAAATCTTATCAGTGTTTGGGAAAAACTTGTAAGTATTCATCCACTCTTTTCACATTAGGCAATTATGGCAGTAACAAAAAGGTCTTCAGAAGAAAGCAAGAAATCTGTAATTTCATGTTGTAGAATCAGACTTCATCTTATCCTGATAACCAACAAGACAGAAGATATTAGAGCTCTAGAAGAGGAGTCAATCACTGAAACTAACGGAGAAACATTGAGAAAATAATTAGTTACTGCTACATGTGAAACAAACCTTTAATAGAAAATAAACCATCAGGTACTAGGTCAGACTAGGTATCAGGAACACAAGCTTGCAGAATCTAACTTCCAAGTTTAAGTTAGATCCACTAGTAACAGCTTTTATAAACTATTTAATCTTGCGTCCCTCTGAGTTCTTCTACTCTGTTCCTGTATTTCTTCTAGTATCTCACTCACCCTGCAAGCCTGCCTTAGTCCCAACACCCTACTACTACTATTTTCATCTGAATCAGCACATTTCTTCCTTTAAATGACCACTGTTTCTACTTAAATTTTTTTTTCTACCATATCTTATCACATTACCCAACAACACAATCAAGTTTTCAAAATTCATTGAAAAAAGACCCCAAACAGTAAGACTGACAAAATAGGCCAAGAGGCAGAAGTTGACTTTTGTTCATAGCTACTGGGCCTACCCCACCTCTACAGACAATTTTAACTTGGAGAGCCAGCTGGAACAGTTCAAACCAAAGCAAGGAAGTGCCCTAACAAGCTAAGCAGATTGCCAAAGAACTGGAAATCAATCTCATTCATTAAACCTTTTAGTTAGCAGTACAGGCATTCTCCAAGATAACAACCAGTGTCAGAGTGTGTTAGCCACACCACTGTGGGCTTGCACCAGCTGGTTGTAAGACCAGAGTTCAGGCCCTGGTCCTCTTGTTTAGCCACACAGGCACAGCTTTAACTTCTTGAGCAACTTCTGTAGGGTAAATTCCAGCCCAAACAAGCACAATTAGACACAGTCAGAAACTGCCCATAGCTAAAACCAAAGAGATGGTATAAGAACTATTTAGAATTCTGCAACTACAGAGTACTTTGTAAGCATGGAGTAAAACACACATGCATGGAATTAAAAGAGGAACAAGAAAAATTGGCTTAGTGTTATTACATTTGTATCTCCTAGATCAAATCAGAAACTGCTAGCTTGTCCAGTGATGAATGTCTCCATCAGATCTAATATTAACACTGACATTAGAAAACATTCAGGCAAGAATAACATCTTGGAAAGTGTGTTTTCTTCTAGAAACCTTTTCTTAGCCATATATAATCCAAATTATATATGGAACATAATTAACTCGGTGCAAGTGTTGAGAAATTACAAACTTTGCAGCTTCTACAGGTAAAAAAGATCTGTTTATTAAGAATCTGTTTATAAGCAAGATTTAACTGATTTAACAAGAGGTAAGTTTTTCATTTATCCTCCATTAAGCAGCTGTAAACGTCATTATAAAGTAACTTTTTGCTATTATGGAGGAATAAAGGAAATTAGCTCTGTTATCACCAACATTAAAACCTGTCAACTGTGCTCTTGGCACATGAAATGGCCCAAAAGTAATTTCCCCCCCATTTTAGGACTACGTAATATAGTAGAAAGTTCTTATACAAGTAAAAAATCAGAAGCATTGTCTTTCCATTTGAACATGAAAGCCAATTAGCAAGCAGAAACGGACTCAGAGGCAGTCCTGTCTAAACACTGAATGAGAAGCTGCTAAGGAAATTTGTTGTTTGTTCTGGTTGAGCCAATCTCACCCTTGAGGTGTTTCTGCAGCTATGCTTAACATCTCACCACCTTAAAGAAAGATCTTCTCTCTCTCAGGCATTTCTGCTGTTCTTTTGTCCCCTATTTGACACCTCCATTCAAATTCATATCAGCACTTTCTCCTGTTCTATCACCAGTCCCTTCTTGTGTAATCTGCATGAACCCATCTAGATGATCACTTCTACATTGTATTCAAGACCATAACATCAAATGACTTGCATCCATTCCACATCTCAGGCTGTTAAATTTAATCCAATAATAATATGGTCAAACGTCTGTATCTGCTTTATATTTTACACACTGGAGAGGGAAAATCATTACAAAAAGCCTCAAATTAAGCCACAACATAGGAGTCTTTCTACTGGATTAAGAGTTGGGAGTCTAGTCCCATCTTGTGAAATGTTACGGTTTCTTTCTGGAATCTAATCTACCCAAACAATTTTAAACTACTTCTACTGAAACTACTTTTTTGTATTAAAAAAACAAACAAAGAAACAAACAAAAAAACTGGGGGAGGGAATAAGGATTTGTAATAATATTTTAACTTTTTTACATGTTTTTCATGGCTGTTTTTTCCCCTACATACACCTCAGCTCATATATGAAATACAAGTCACCATACAGTACCTTTCCCTCTACTTTATAGCAATTTTCAGAATTGCACATTTTGATGTTTTTGCCATCTATTCCCTGGAAGACATATAAAACGTCTCTTACAAGATTTGCTTCAGTTATTTCAACAGAGCCTAGAAAGAAAAGAAAAAAAAAACAAAAACAAAACAATATTTAGATTTGTTGAGGTAATTAGTTCTGATTACAACTTCAGAAAGCTATTTAGAAGCATAACCAAAAAAAAGGAATTATAAAGCCTGAATTTATAATCTGTAAAGAAATGTTTTAGGTACTCTTAACAATCACCCAGATTCCCCTTGCCTGCCTCTAATGGTACCTGTGATGCTCCCAGAGCAGTCAACTTATATGACACAGGGCATGTTATATTTTAATCAACACATCAGTCAGTCCTTAAACCTTTTATCTTTTCTGATCCAACCACCAGTGCAATTTCTGAGGCAAGCATCATAATAACTTTATCTTTTTTCGAACAAACAGCTAAAGCTGTTAAGTAGGACTTACAGAATAATCTCTTTATATTCACCTTGGAAAACAACAGCTAATCCAAAAGAAAAAGCTGTTTCTTTAATACTGGCTTTCAATCATATATGCCACTGCTTGGTGATCAAAACCAGACTGCCAGCTGCATAACAGCTATGGAGCTGGCAAACAGTAAAGTGTAAATACTGTTTCTGAAGATATACATTTGGGTTAGTAAAGCATTTGTTACTACAGCATACAGCTTGCTTCTGGTTATTATCTCTAGTTAGAGGTTAGACTGTGATTGAGATTTAGGATATTTATCAACTTAAAGGAAACAAAAAATAAAAAGAAGCTGTTGTGCAGGCCATTGAAACTACCCCAACCTTTTCTGGGCAAAACAGCACCATTTGCTTTTGTAACTTCATTTAAGATAACAAGAATGAAACAATTTTAACAACTATCCAGAAATTGAGATGCTACAACATGCTTCTCCCAATTTTGACAGCACCCTTACTCTCATCAGCTTGCCTCCCCAAAAATCTCCTTTCCCAGAAAAAAGACAACAAAAAATAAAGTCTATTCTTATTTGGCAAAAGTAGCCTTCACCTCAAGGTGCTGTTTAAAACTTAGTCTCTCCTCATAACATTAAGATGTGCATTGCCCTTTTGAGGAACTGTTAATGAAATGGTGAAAGATGCAGGTGCATGGTTCTTTACTTGGTAAATAATACAACGGGAATTAACATCAGCCAGACAATATGCCTGATTATACTCTCTGTGTAAGTGTAATAATAAGAAGACTCCAAATAAAAGCAAGTAACTCTAGAAGACAGAAAAAAAATAATTATACAAGAATTTTATATTCATACAAATGTATCTTCTTGGCATTAGCCTTCTATATTCTGAATGCAGTCCTACTTCTATTTCTACATCAGCAATTGACTCATTTAAGACAACTGTCAGTCCTTATACCCATCCCACATAAGAACCAAAACGTCACAGCTACTGGCTGACTCAACAGAAGTATTGCTTTCCATACCAATCAGTATAACAAATTAAGAGGTAGTGCTAGATTTTATATATTTTTCTCTATATTAAATCTATCATATATATATAAATGTATTTTCTTTATATATATATATATACACACACACACACACGTCCTCTTGCACATCAACAGTCTTGTTAATTAGGTTCAAAACACTAAACACTGCCCTCCAATACACCAGTACAACTCTGTCTGTTCTATAAGCTGCTGCTTTGTACACTGCTACTCAAAGATGTCTGGCAGACAGGTTATATTTCAGCTTCTAAATATGCACCATTTATTTGTTTAAGAGTTATTTAAAAAAAAAAGAAAAAAACCACACAAACAAAAAACTGCATCTCTTATCTTTCCTTGCCAGAGAGTAACAGCACTGTAAGATAACATCTGCCATTAGCTCTCTTATTCAGAAAAGGCTCTCACTTTTACAGTAGAAGTAGAGTGAGTTGAAAGTTAGAACTGTCACAGAGATCACCTGTTAACCAATTTCTCCTTAGCTATGCTTGTGTAAATTCAGAATAGATCCTCTAGGCACTAGCTTCAAGTTTACAGCCACTTAATCAAGGAAACAAATTAGCAATATTAGGAATTTAGGAAGAAAGTCTTTACTGTGAGGGTGGTAAGGAACTGGAACATGTTGCCCAGAGAAACTGTGGATGCCCCATCCCTGGAAGTGTTCAAGGCTAGGCTGGATGAGGCTCTGAGCAACTTGGTCTATTGGAAGGTGTCCCTGCCTACGGCAGGGGGGCTGGAACGAGATGATCTTTAAAGTCCAGTCCAACTCAAACCATTCTGTGATTGTATGATTCTATATTTATCTATTTCTTATTTTATTGAAAACATTTTTTGTCACTTGCTCTAAATATAACCACTGTAAACTGTGCTAATTTAAAGAAGAAACAGCTTTAAGATCTCTATATTCCAGTGCACATTTCCAAGTTTTAAAAGACACATAATCACAAATGGATGAATCTATTTAAACAAATTATATTCATTGAGCTCTCTGACTCTAAAAACAGTAGCATCTTCTGATCATCACAGGAATGATCATTGCTCACAAGTCACAATCACTTGACTGACAAACTCTGGAATCAAGTCAGTCTTTTAAGAGGACCAGAACACAATATAAGCCAACCACTGCAAAAAGAAATTAACCATCAGCCAGAGAGATTGTGGCCAAATATACTAGTCTTGCATATTTCCTTCTATCCTTCTATTAAACACATTCTAGAAAAACACTCCTCAAAAAAAATCCACATGCTATAAAACAATTCCAAAATAATTTTAAAAAATTATCTTCAGCAAATACATCTTTGCTCACCACTTGTATCCCCTTCTCGCCTAGACCTTGGCACACCACGAGACACAGCATTTGAAAAGCCTTTTGAGGTAGTGCTTTGTAAAGAAGGTTGGCTTGCAGTTAAAGTCCATGCGAGACGTGATCCCAACTGCTGACGGAGGCATTCTCCAACACCTGGAGCTTGATAGGATTGTCTAAAAAGGATAAAAGGAAGAACCATTTTTAAAAACCTTGATTTCATACCCATTACATGGTATGGAGTAGTACAAATTTTGAAAAATGTCCCAAGATTGAGTTCGCTTTTTGTGGATGTTTTCTTTGGTTTTTTTTCTTTTTTAATAAAGGGATCTTAAAAAAAGAGTACAGAACATATAAGAAATCTGTTGATTCCTATAAGCCTACACTTAAAAAAAAAAGGGGGGGAGGTACAAATTTGACAAATATCAAAAACTGACTTTGATGAAAAGTGTAATTATACCGAAATGGATTAAAAATGAAGGCACTATAAGAATAATAAACAACAGTCATAATAAAAATCATAAATATTTAAGTTTGTTATTACCTGAAACCGTAGTTACATGTCAAAGAACTAAAGGAAAACAGAGAAAGAGGACAAAGTTGACATTCCTGCTACTCTACTCTTTCAGATAGTTTGTATCAAGTGCCTGAAGATGTGATCAAGGAGGGAGTATCTAGACAAGCTGATTTTCCTTCCTTTCAAACTTGTCAATTTTTCTCACAAAGAAAATCTTAATCATGAAAAAACATTAAGACTATAAGTTAGCTTTCTGACTATTTCTGCATCATGATGAAAAATAAAGTTGCAAAATATTTGCAAGGGATTTTTGCTGCTTGTCATTCCTCCCCTTCCCCCAACTGAATGCAAACATTTTGAAATATACCTATCTTTTCAAAAAACTCAAAATACTAATTCCACAAGGCTGTGAAAGCAGTTGCATGAAGAGATGGAATAGGATTGCAAAATAAATGTCCATGTAAAAAAAGTTGAGGAATGTCTTTCCTCTCTCAACCACATCATTAACTCATGGGATGGTCAACAAGAACACAGGTTGCAAGACAGAGCAACTCAGAATCACAGAATCAATGACATTGGAAAAGACTTCTAAGATCAAGTCCAACCTATAATTTAATATCACAATGTCAACTAGACCCTGGCACTAGGTGCCATGTCCAGTCTTCAACATCTCCAGAGACGGTGACTCCACCACCTCCCCAGGTAGCCCATATCTTATCACCCTTCATGTGAAGATGTTATTCCTAATGACCAACCTAAGCCTCCCCTAGCACAGCATAAGACTATTTCCTCTCATCCTGTCACTAGTTCCCTGCAAAAAGAGGTTGACCCCCACCTGGCTATAATCTCCTCTAAGGTAGTTGTAGAGTGATAAGGTCTCCCCACTGAGCCTCCTCTTCTCCAGGCTAAACAACCCCAGCTCCCTCAGCCATTCTTCATAAAACCTGTGCTCCAGACCCTTCAGCATCTTCATTGCCCTTCTCTGGACACACTCTGGTACCTCAATGTCCTTCCCAAACTGAGGGGCTCAGAACTGGACACAGAACTCAAGATGTGGCCTCACGAGTGCTGAGTACAGGGGAAGAATCACTTCCCTAGTCTTGCTGGCCACACTGTTCCTGATACAACTGATACAGGCCAGGGTACCATTGGCCTTCTTGGCTACCTGGGCACACTGCTGGCTCATGTTCCATCCACCACTGGAGACCAGCATCTCCAGGTCCTTTTCCACTTGACCACTTTCCAAATACTCTTCCCTGAGCCCGTAGCACTGCAGGGGGTTCTTTTGGCCAAACTGCAGGACCCAGCACTTGGCCTTCTTGAATCTCATACCATTGGTCTCGGCCTGTTGATCCAGCCTGTCCAGGTCTCTCTGCAGAGCCTTCCTACCATCCAGGAGATCGACACTCCCACCCAACCTGGTGTTGTCCATGAGTTTGCTAATGGTAGATTCCATCTCCTAATCAGGATGATCAATGAAGATATTATACAGGACTGGGACCAACACTGATCCCTGGAGGACACCTGGATGCAGCACCATTCACCACCACTCTAGGTCCGGCCCTCCAGCCAGTTCTTAACCCAGCACAGAGTGCCCCTGTCCAAGCCGTGGGCTGCCAGCTTTGCCAGGAGTATGCTGTGGGAGACGGTGTCAAAGGCTTTGCTGAAGTCCAGGTAGAGTAAATCCACAGCCTTCCCCACATCCACTAGGCAGGTCACCTGGTCATAAAGGGAGATCAGGTTGCTCAGGCAGGACTTACCCTTCCTAAACCCGTGCTGGCTGGGGCTGATTCCTTGGTTGTCCTGCATCTGCCATGTGATCACACTCAAGATGATCTGCTCCACAACCTTGCTGGGCACCGAGGTCAGGCTGACAGGCCTGTAGTTCCCCAAATCCTCCTTCTGGCCCTTCTTCTGGATGGGAGTCACATTGGCCAACCTCCAGTCACCCAGGATCTCCCCAGTTAGTCAGGACCAACGATAAATGATGATGGGCAGCTTAGCGAGCTCTTCCATCAGCTCTGTCATCACCCTAGGATGGGTCCCATAGACTTGTGAGCATTTAAGTGGCTCAGCAGATCATTAACTGCTTCCTCCTGGATTACAGGGGGTCCATTCTGCTTCCTGTCTACCAGCTCAGGAGGCCAGTTGCCCAGAGGATAATTGGTTTTACCGTAAAAGACAGAGCTCTGTTGTTCTTAGCATTTGTAACATGTCAAATAGAGTACAACACTGAATTTAGACTGTTCAGAAGAATGTATTCCAGAAAAAAGGAAGACAGGTATAAAGAGAAGTTCAGGAGGAATGAAGCTGACAGAAAGATCTAATCTGGGTTGTTCAACTCACAGATTACAAGACCAAAGAGCGCAGTGAAATTGCTGCAAAATGGAACAGTCTGAACAGGTCAGACCAAGGATATGCCAGAAACAGGGTAAATTCTGCTGATATTTTTAAGCAAGCAGATATGTGAAATAACATCATTGACATAGCTTTCTATATTGTATCAGGATTATACAACAGTTGAGGTTGGAACAGAAATCACCTCCTCCAAGTCCCCTGCTCAAAGCAGGATCAACTACAGAAGGTTACCTGGTGCATTGTCCAAGACATATTTGTAATATTTTTAAGCATGGAGACTACACAACCTCTCTGGGCAACCCATTTCAGTGCTTCACAATATCCCCACTGCCCTCAAACACACACCTCACCTTACTGCAAAAGTTTTTGCCTTATGTTTAACTTCCTGTGATTCACAGATCTACAAATTTTGCCAGTTATCTGTTGTTCTTTTTCCTGGGCACTACCACTGCAACACTCCAGTCATATGAACTACCCCATCATGTTTTCGTGATTCCAGTGAGATCACAGCCCTAGTACTGCACACACCCCAAGTCCTCCTCTGTTCCCCACACTGCATGTGTTAGTGTGTAAGCACTCCAGCAAAGTTGTGCTGATGTTCCAGAAAAAGTATGAGAATTTTCCATATAAGGCTTCCTCTCCACATTCCTCATTTCTGTGCACACAGTTGGATGGACTCCCTTCTGCCCTGCTCTGTTGGTTTCAAGGTATCTCTTGCCCACATCACCCTGCATCTTTTGCTTACTAAGCTGGTTGGTCACTTCCTCACTCAGTTGTGGGGCTCAATCCTCCCTGTTGCTCCTAGTTTAAAGGCATCCTCTATCCATGTATTCAAGATACACAATATAAACCTAGTACTGACAAAGTCAAATAAGTATTTGTATTCTAGAGCCTATTAATAACAATGAAATCCAGTTCTGTCAGCACTAGTTATTATTTCCACACTATGAATTCAATAACATGTCAAATACCGTTTTTTAGTAGAGTGTATCTTCAACCCAGAAAAAAGCTTTGGTCCTTTCTGAAAATGCATCTATTGTGAATTTGTGTTTGTTTCACAAATCTTGGGGGTGGGAAGGAAAATTAAGAGACAAGAAGATGGTGGTTAAGAATGGATACATTTGGGCAACCATTTATGGCTTCATAGGGTCATATGCTAGCACCTGATATTCAGAACTGTTCAGCTAAGGAACTCCAGTTTCTCTGCACCTACAGTGGAATTTCCAATGGTATAAAAATGGGGAGGGTGGGAGAAAGAAAAAAAAAAAAAAAGGCAAAAAAAAAAAGCAGCAGATCATTTCAATTCTTCTCCAAACCTATCTGTAAGGTAAAATTTACCCTGGAACGAGTGATTGTGGAGTTGGTGTCGGCCCATTTAGGGCATACAGGCTGATGCTGCTGATCCCACTGCTCCCCATGCTGCAGGAACTCTGTCCAGACTGAGCACTGCGGTCTTGGTAATTCAGTGGAAGGGTCTGAGGCCTGGCATAGTAATAAGGGGTTGAGTGAGCATCCCGTGGTAATGCTTGAGCAAAAAGCGTGGCATAACTTGACACCTGAAAAGAAAAGGTTTTGAAAAGGGAGGAATAATAAAAAAGAAAAATAAAAAAAAAAACGATTGAGTTGCTTTAAGTCACATCTTTAGTTAACAGAAGTGCAATATCTAGAACACAAGAAACATCTGAAGATCACATTTAAGCAAAGAAAAGTTTGCTGATGCAGTTATAATGACAAAAAAGTCCCTTATGGTGAGCTAAAGTACTTTTAGCAACATAGCTTCTTTTTGCCTGCAAATTGTCATTAGCAATAGTTGTAAAAAGCACTTTGGTGCAAGCGGAGCTGCAACCAAAGGAGAAATTTGGTTTTCCCTACTCCATTTAAAACTCATTAGCACATGAGCAGACATTACACCACCAACCAAAAGCAAACATAAAAACCACCCATCTAATACAGCCACAACTTCAGCTGCAAGTGTTGGACAGCTCCAACTTTTACATGTACTTAGTGTAAAAAAATTACACTAAATATTGCAGACACTTAAGTCAAGTGTGTTCTTCCTTTCAGCCTCACACACAGCTCCCACAAACACAACCTGATGTGTTGGTTAAGTCTGGATAATGATTCTTTATGACATCTCCAATAAGTCACACACATTTACTGTTTCTCAGAAGTAACAAAGGTCTACCTTGTTAGACTGTTTACGTGGATCTTCACTAAGGCTAAGCAGGAGGTAGAGTATTGACCACTTGTTTTTCAAAACGCCCTTTAAAAAGATGAAGACAAACAGAAATGAGTTTAGCTCTTGATAACAACAGATTTTTTTAATTATGCGGCCTCATATATGTACATATAAATAAATTTTCCTGATAAGTAAGACTAACACATTTTGAATAAACTGAGAATGTGCAGTGCAGCCTCTGTATTGCTAATTTTATGAATTTTTTCCACTGTGTTCAAATCATGAACTCTCACCCGCTCTGAGATCAGCAAGTAAGCTCAATTTAAAATTTATAGCTACTAAGAATGAGGTTTATACAGAGCTGAACTTTTACCAGCATTCCCACATGCTCTCACCATTTAAAACATCTCAGGTGTGCATGTTAATGTAATCTCAATATGAAGAAGGAATAATCATGGTAAAATTTTAAGCAAGGAACTGTCTTTTCTCCATTTTCCCATTCACTCTCCTTTACAAAGAGGCTTCAAAAGCAAGCGTTTCAATTTTTATTACTTTAAATTCCATCGCAGTATTATCCTCTTAAACTCAGGTTTTCTCTAAACTAACATCTTTTGTCAGAATATCAACATACAGTATTCTTTGATTAACACTGGTGTTGGAACAATCAAAGTCAACAAACCCTTAACTTTCAGTATTACAGACTTGGAGCACTTAAAATTCAGAAGCATGAGAACCCTAGATTATTAAAATCAGTATACTGCAAGGGATTTCTGTAAAATAAACGATGAGAAAATTCATCAGTTTTACATATCAAATGAATACTTCTATTTTTACAGAGTTCCTTTCTTCATATGAAGTGCCCTTTCATACAACTGGACTCAAATACTAAAAATGCATCCTTTATTTTCTTCCAATTTACAATTAAATAGAAAAAAAAAGAACTTGTAAACTTTTTCACAGAAAGTACAAAATAATTAGGGTTGGAAGGCATCACTGAAGATTGCCTAGTCCAATCCCTCTGGTCAAAGCAGGATTGTCTACAGCAGGTTGCCTGCAACTGTCCACTCAGTTTTTGACTGTGTCCAAAGACAGAGACACCACAACTTTCCTGGGCAAGCTGTTCCAGTATTCAACTAACCTTTCAGAAAAAAATATTGTTCATGACCTGAGCACTCTCCAGAACAACTCTAACATCAGACAGATGTGTGCTTTCAGTTTTTTTACTCTTTACACATTTCTTACACTACCTGTGAACCAAGTTTTCTGTAGAGTTCTGAAAACAAAGCAGCATCTGCTTCCCTTCTTTGTCGCACAACTATTAAAAGAAAAAAAAATAGATTTAAAATTTGAAAGAAGTATAATACTTATTTCTAACATTATTATTTGTGGTAAATCAGCAAGTCTACCCCAGAAAGCTTACTGATGATGAACAGCTTCATTCTATTTCTCAAACATTTTGCCTATTTTCATGTTATCTGCATTCCAGTCCTGGAAATTCTTGCATCAGAAGCAATTCAATGTAAATACCTGTTTTTCTTAGAGCAATCAAAATATACACCTTCTAAATAAGTGCCCTTTTAAAGTCTAGTCTGCCATATAGTAGGTTTAGAGACTTAAGGGACATAACCAAAAGCATAAATGTGTTAAAGAATGCTATAAAAAATATGTGTAATTGCTCACAAAACTAAGTGTAATTGTGTCTATATTAGGCAATAAAAGCAGGAAAAAATATTAGTAATGCTACTCACTCCAAGTCAAGCAGAATTCCAAGGTCATGCAACTCATATATTACAAAAAATAACAGTCTCAATCAATGCCAGTTACATAACACAAGTATTTTCTCAGGGGAAAAACATCTTCAAACTAACATTTCTTCAGAAAAGCTACTTTACGTCAGAAGAGCCATGTTAAGAAAAACAAGGAGACAAAAAACATCTGAAGAAACTTTAGCGATAAGAAAAATAGCTGTTAAATGTTAGATATGTTAATTAGCATCAAAAGCCACTGCTTCGTACACTTTGCCAGCTAAGTAATTTCCTATATGGTACTTCCAAGATAAATGTAAGGTTAGAAGGATGTATCTAATCTCTTGTTACATGACAACTTCCATCAGCCTACAAGTTGAAGTTGGGAAGAAGGAAGATGAGGGAGATAGCTCTCTTCAAAAGTTCTGGCAACAGGCCCAAAGAATATGCTGCACTGTCTAGAACTAACCAAAGCATGTAGAAACTCATCATGCAGAAAGTGTATATTGCAGATTCCAGTGTTTCAGAGTTGTAGCTAGAGGAATTCTGATGGTCTTATTTGCCTATTAGCAAGACACAGAAGCCCTGCATTAGCAAAAACTACAAGTGGACCTTAAAACAGTTACAGCCACTGACATCAGTTACCCTAATTCAATTCAATCTCCCTGACTGAATACTCAAAGCCCAAATATGAAGCTTTAATTTAACTAGCAGACTTCAAGTAATTGTTTCTGGACATGCTACTGTATAGCAGACAATCTGCTGAAAGCAGTATTTGTCTTTTCAAGAAGAATGCATCACATCCTCTTTGGATTCACACAGTGTGACACTTGACTTGGAGCAGCACAGAGCCCAAAGGAATGGAACCACAACATAACTTATGAAATCATAGTCTATTATTTTGGTTTTGAGAAGGTGGTTGCCGAAAACTTATAGAGAAACTGAAGTCAAGAAATATTAGGTAAGTCACAACCAATTCCATCAAGTCCCAGGATACTCATTCAGCAAGTTTCACACAGGTGTTCATGAAGTTAATTGTGCCAACATGTAATATTTCTGAAGTGTACATCTCAAAAATATCTTCCAAAAAAACCTACTAATTCATAAATTCTGAGTACTATTAAAGTGAAAGGAGTACAATATTAATTGGTTTTTATTTTCATAGTGGCTGAGATACAAAGTAAATGGCAAGGAAAGTCTAAGATGAGCATTCAGAAAAATCTAAGTTGTAAATACAAATAGCCACCCAGGAATATTCACTAGAGTATTACTGGAATTTGCATCGTGACATTTTCAGGAGGTAAGCATTGATAACAGATTAGATGACTATCTGTGAGGCAGAGCTGTCACATTTTCAGAGAAATAAACTGATCAAATAACTTCATGAAGAACCTCCTATTTCTAAGAAAGGAACAAAGATGCACTTACGTTCTTTCTTGATTTTCTCCGCTACAAGAAATTCATCACGCTCAACGGTGGGAGCAAAATTGCTTCCAATAACTCTCACTGCATACTGAAACTGCTGGGCTGCATCAGCTGGAAGAAAAAAATGAAAACTCTTTCTGTTAAGCAGAACACCAAAGTTTTATGAAGACAAATAAAGAAGTTAAGACATGAGATTACACTGCTATGTCTGAATCCAGTATAAATGTACCTCGCTTAGATGTGATGTTATACCATAATTCTTAGACACACTTCTAACCAGGTGGCAGTAAAACTCAGTTTACCATAGTATCAATGCTATACTTCAAACACAACTAAGTATACACACTCCACAAAACAACTGCACTGAAATTTGTGAAAAAGCCTTTCCTATTCCATGCTGATGGAAGAGACACTTAGCCTACCCAGTTTTTTCAGAGAGCATTTGCATGCTTGAGCTGGCTCTGCCCATCCCCACAGACAGAAACGCTGTGGGACTTGACACAGAGTCACACAATTCAGTTTACACACAGGAGGAATACAGATGTGTTCACCAGGCACACTCTCATCCCAAGCAGCAAAACTGGATTATCCTATCTGTGGATCTTCACTCAGATAGCCACAACAGTGCTTTTGTCAGATTGCATCTTATTTTTAGGTTTGGTTTCGTTTATAAAACAATTTGCACTGTTTCACCCTTAGGTTCAAAGCCCACTCAGAGATATCAGCATCACATCCCAATGCATAATGTGGACATTAATACAGAGGTCACAACTTAGTGACCTCCCTCCACTGCTCCTTCCTCATGCAATAACTCTGTTTTTATTATCGTTGCTTAGCAGTACAATTTAAGTGCAAGTTCTCTTTCTTTCCAGGAAGATTAACACTCTGGTAACACAAAGATAGGGTCAGTTCAGTATTACTGTCTTCACAGCATAGTCAGGCTCCCATTTATTGACCTGAAAAAGCTAACAAGCAAATAACCCTACAGACATGTCAAATGCCCTTACAAAATGTCAGATACATTTCTACTCCTTATACTGAAGCAACTGTAATAACACGAGGGGGAAAGGTACATAAGAAAATATAGAAGTGAGTTAGTCAGCTACCTGAATCCTTTCACTTCAGGAAAAAAAAAAAAAAAAGGCCCAAACAAAACAAAAAACTAAGCAATTCTGCATATTGTCTGTTCTGTATATAACAATTATCTGTGCAAGTGCATCATATCCTCACGTGTTATTTAGTCCATTAAGCAGTCAACTTTCAGAGAAAATCACAGAGTAACACAGCAATGGTTCAGCCAAGGAAAAAACAAGGATGCTGGCCAAGACAAATATGTACTAAAGGAACAGAAAAATGAAATAAGGTAAAGGACCACCAGAAGCAGAAATACTCAAAGCATTTATCATCCCTAAAATTCACTAATATTTACAATTAAAAAAAAAGTCAGCTGGGAAATACTAGGAGTCAATTATTGACTAAATGCATTAAAAACTCCAGAAATTTATGGAAAGAAGAAATTTGAAATCATTATGTGCTAGATTGTTTTTTAATGCCCCACATTCATTTTGAATGTCTATTTTTTACTGTCTTGTAATATGTCACCCACTGGTCCTACTCTGTTAGAACACATCTGTAGAACAGCTAACATTAACTAGTTCATAGAAAGTACTACCTCACACAATCAGGAAAACAGTTTGCTCAGACAAAATCTTTAACATTTAACAGTATTTGGCAGTATCGGCCTACAGAAGAAGCAAGAGTATTGTTTCTACTGTCAGAAAAGAAAATGCCAACATTCAGACTACATATCTCTACAACTTAAATGCCTCCCAGAAACAATAGTTCTACTGTTAGACTAAGCAACATTTCAATTGCAACAAGGACTTGAAGACAGAACATAAAAATTTAAGAGTCCAGTTACTGATGAACCAGGTGTGAAGAGTTAAGTATGAGGAATTACTTCTGCTCAATTCTTAAGTGTAATGCATGTCATTACAGAACTCGAGATTCCAAAAAGTATTCTGCATGGTCAACTAAAGTCAGATAACTAAAGTTATCTCAAACAATATATGTTCCATTAATTGCTTAACTGTGTACCTAGCAGCAGATCAGCAAGGGGAAAGTTCTTCCTGTAACGGGGAACTTTTAAGAAAGATACATAACCTATAACAACCTTCTATTTCAATATCAACCATAGGAAGACTAGTTAAAGCACTGAAACTTAGTATTTTCCATACTGCCCTAACAAGGCATCTGAGAAAGATGTCTAGTTGAAAGACTAGAACTCCATCCAACAAATCCTGATTTTTAAACCTGTCACACCACTGGTGAGCATGTAACAAAGTTATCTGCTCTTTACACATACAGATTTGCACTGGCAATTCAACAGCTTCATAGCAAGACTGGTTTCCTATTACATTTAATTCAGATTTTCATGTTTTATTCATATCAAGTCCAGTTTCTCTTTGTAAAAAAAAATTTCTTTGCTATGTTTCCTCAGATTATTTTTTATGAATCTATAAAATAATTTCAGTACCTAAAGTGATTAAACACAACTTAATATGGACATCTGCCAGTACAATAAAAACTCACATAGCTTGTCACTGAGGGGCACATTTAGTTGCTTCTCTCCTGAAAGAACAATCATTATAACAGCAGATGGACTTAAAATACAGCCATTTATTTGAACATCCTTCATCAAAAAATTATCACAGCATGACTGTCATGTAACAGGAAGCTCAATATACCTGATGCATGAAACAGATGCAACTGTTTGTGGGGTAAAGGCAGGAAAACAACATTGACCATGACTTGCTTTCCTGAGGTCGGATCAGAGCAGTGAATGCAGATAGATACAGCCACTTCTCCTCAGACCATATCCCTTAAGTAATACACACACAATTAATGATACTGATAAGCAGCCACACAGCTGAACAGAGAACTTTCACTTATGAATCACAACAAAAAAAACCCAATAGTTTTTTTTAAAACCCTCTCCTTTAAGTAAAGCAATCTAACAATCCTTCAAAGATCTACACTCCACACAGTCATTCAGACTTTCCTATGCACAGTGCAGTATTAGAAGTGAACTATTCCAAAAGGCAGATAACAGTATTTTAAAGCTGCAGAAAGTACAAGTGTGGCATATGAAAAAAATATAGAAGCAATGCACAGAAACAATTTGTTTGTAAAGAAATCAAGGAGAAAAAGGACAAAAGATAAAACTTAAAAGTTCAAGACATGAACAGAAAATCAGCCAATTCCAAGAAGTCAGCATTTCAGAGGAAATATTTCTTGCTGAAATTCAGCAAGACTTTTGCTATAAAGAAGTTTCTAATTACTTATAATTTTAGGAAGTGAACTGAAATTCATTTCACACTCTTATACATTTCTTTAAACAAGGTTTGTTATAGTCAATTGAAGTTTCCAGAAGGGGGTGGGAGTGAACTTCTGAAAAAACTAAGTAGTAATTGAAACTGTTTTTCCAAACATTAATGTATCATGATTGTGAGAAACCTTGTTTCCCGGAAAGACAACATTTCATTATTTTAATCTGCCTGTAAACATAATTTCTAAACTATAGGACCATTCTAAAGAAAGCTTAGCTAAACTAAACAATAATCACTTTCTTTCTTGAAAGACTACAAAGATTAGCAAACTCTCTCCACTCTTTTTCCAATTAGCTGTATGTCATCCCAGACAACAGTTTTGCTTAAATCCAGATGCAAAATTACTGTAAAACAATTACACTCTAAACTGCATTCAGTGGTGTAGGGGTGGCACTGACCAGCTATCAACTATTGCTGCAAACTACTCTGATACAGATGCTGCCAAAAAAACACACTGAAGGAAAAAACCCTACAAATTTTCTTTCCTGTAACAAAGTGTTTGCCAAACGCCTAAAGTGTTATTGTTGCAAAACTAAGCTTGGAAGAAAAGCTGTAAAACTCTTCACCTCCTCACATACACCACGAGCAAATATCGTGCTTGTCACTACAGTAACGCTGCTGTATCTCCTCTGTTTTACCTATATGAGAAGTTCTACATCACTACGAAGTATTACCTGGGGAAAAACACAATTGCATTTAACATGTCATATACTGATAAGCTTAAAATACTTGTCTGAAATGCCATTAGTGTTTCTATTTTTTTATTGACGAGAATTTACACACATTGTAAGCAGAACTGATTGTTCCTGACACTGGGTTTGAAAAGTGCAATTTTAGGACCAGTTCAGTTATGACATGCAAGGTGCAGCACCTGGGTTGAGGCAAACTCAGACATGAGTGTATAGACTGGCAGAACTCATTGAGAGCAGCCTTCCAAAGAAGGACTTGAAAGTTCTCATGGATGAAAAGCTGGACATGAGCCAGCAATGTGTGTTCACAGCCCCAAAGGCCCAAACACATCCTGTGCTGCATCAAAGGCAGCATGGCCAGCAGGTCAAGAGAGGTGGTTCTGCCCCTCTACTCTGCTCTTGTGAGACCCCACCTGGAGTCCTGCATCCAGCTCTGGGGTGCCCAGCACAAGAATGGACCTGTCAGAGCAGGTCCAGAGAAGAGGGCCACAAAGAAGATCAGAGGGATGGAGCACCTCTCTTATGAAGATAAGCTGAGAGAGCTGGGGTTGTTCAGTTGGAAAAGAAAAGGCTCCAAGCAGAGACATTTCAGTATTTAAAGGGGGTTATAAAAAAAGAGGTAGAGCAACTTTCCACACAAGTAGTAATAGGACAAAGGGGAACGATTTTAAACTAAAAGAGGAGACATTTAGATGAGATGCTAGGATGAAACTCCTTATTGCGAGGGTGATCAGACACTGCAACAGATTGCCCAGATTCTGTGAAGTATTCCTGAAAAAAAATTAATTTTGCATGTCTTCTGATTTAGTCAACTACCTTAACCTTCTCTTTTGTTTATGCAAGTTTTTAGTTGAAGTATTTTAAGTTTATTGTTAATTAACTGTTTTCCTAGTCTCCAAACTCCTTTCCCATGAAGGAAAAAGACTCAAAAAATGACAAAACCACAAAATAAAGCCCAAGCTGCACACACTCCCATGTCTTTCCTTACTTAGAAGTTGTCCATAAACTTTGAAGCACAGCACAGAAAACACAA